CAGCAGGATTTGAACCTAGAACCTTCTTGCTCTGACAGGACAGCAACAACCTGCACCACCTATGGCAGAAACTGGATCTGTGCCAAAGCACCATCTCTCAAGGCGCACTCTGACATCTGTATGACCTGTGCTGCTTTCTTTTTCACTCTAGGGAACCTTGGACTTTTGAGTCTTTGTCCTTCGTGGAGTTTACCTGTGCAGGTGAGTTTGATATCAAAGTCTTATTAATTTCATACGACAGCTGAGTGCTGTTGGCTGCTCACAGAGAGGACGCAGGTCTCCTGTCACCAAACCTCTGCTGTCATGCGACAAAGCAGATGTTAGTTTTTAGATGTACTCACACACAAACAGTTTGGTGCAATTAAGTTGTGAAGACAAGATTTTTCTGTTCATAACTCAGCTGTCACCAGCAGAGGGAGGAGTCGAGGCAACAGCTGATCTAGAGAAATCTTCTCAGGGTAGCAAAATCAAAGTCATTTCTTTACACATATTACAGAATGTAACATCTGCATAGGGCAGCTTTAGCTACAACTGTAGCTGCCTCCACCAGTGTGTGAATGTGAGAGTGAATGAATAGTGGTATTGTAAAGCGCTTTGGGTGCCTTGAAAAGCGCTATATAAATCCAATCCATTATTATGTATCATATACATGGTTAAAATACAGGAAATATACTTGCTGCCTACTTTATATAAAAAAAACTTTATTGTTTTCTTTAACACTCATAATTAAACATTTCACTTAAATAAAAAAGGTGAACTATTTAGCTTATATGATAAATAAACAGCTTATATGATAAATAAACAGCTTATATGATAAATAAACATACAACACAGAAAGCTACATGACATGAGGCGGTTCATTTACAAACACTAGTCTAACTTAAGTTTCACACTCTGTTACACAATACTAACCTGATCTGCTTCTGTTGTTATAGACTGTACATGGTTCCCACTGGTCTGACATTTCTCTTTAACTTTACTTTTACAGCTTTCAAACTGTGCTTTACCTTCTTTGTTATCATTATTTTTTTAGCAAACTATTTTTTATTAACATTCTTTATTAACACAACTGATCTAAAAAAAAACAAAACATAAAAACCTACTGGGGAAAAGTTATCTTTTACTGTAAAAACCTCAGCTGTGTTTATTGGTGGTGGTCGGTAACGTCCGTGCTGCATTCACATCATCTAGTAGATCTTCTGAGGGTACTTCATGTAGATTTGGTAACCAGCTACACTGGATCCAGGTTTCAAGCTCAGTTCCTCTCGCACTCAACAATCCTTCTTCTACTGCACTTGGGGCTTTGTACCCAATCTCGGGTGGGGGTGATGATATCTCCCCCCTGACCTGGCGTCCTGGCTCCCCCTTGCCGTAGCATTTGTGTTGTACCTCATCAATCTCTAGCTGTGCGAGCAGTTCCTTCTTTCGAATGTTGGAACACTGAGCTACTGGTTGTTTCACCATCCATGTGGATGTTGGGTATCGAAGACTCCATAGGTCCCTCATCCTGTCCATGTACCTCCTTCTGCTGGGGTTACTTGTGTAGTAGCGTTCCAACAACACCCTGTTTTCATCTCTTGCACACCAATGTCTTCTTGTCCAGTAGCCACTTCTCATCAGGGTGTCCTGGTTCAAATTTGTGAGATGCTTGTTTTAGTGTCACACCAGTCCATGATTTCACTTCTCTAATCATTCCTCACATGCTCCATGATGTCCTCTTATAATAAAGCATCAGACTAAACCAAGTCTGCAACTCTTGAGGTCAAAAATGTCCTCCTGTGTCCAAACTATGCTCATAAAGCACGCTGTCACATGCTTTCAATTTTATATAAACCCTACAAAGCATGAATGTTTACGGTAAATGTGCACGACAAACAAATAGAAGCACTCAGAAACCATCTAGATAACTTTTATGTCAAAGGTCATGGAACATAAAATCATTGTGCATCATCTTATAATAAAAACATTTAAAAAGTTTGCTGACTTTATGCAAAAAATAAGCTTTCAAATTCTCCTGCAGATTGAAATTCAAATCAACCTTATGCAAAAGTTCAATAAGGAAGATCTGTAGTTACACATCTGTCTGCTTTCCAGGTGTTGGCACTGCTTTTCAAAATGGTGATAATGTGACAGACATCACATCTTCTTAAGAAATCACACACAGAAACAATGAAGGGCAGAAGGTTTGATCCTCTTAAAGAACTGAAATAAACTGAATAAAGAGGACGAGCTGTTAAAGGAGTCCTCTGCGGTTTCTATATTCCAGCTGTGGCCACAGCTGTTTAACCTCTGCATCGTCTATCAACTGTCCTCCAGATGCATTTTAGGACCTGAGACATACTTCCAGCTTCCAGATATGTAAAGTACATCCTTACCAGAAGCTCGGGTCTCAGAAGGAAACTTACAGTCTGTTTGTTCTACTGTAACATTAAGGGTCAAAGGTCACATGAAAACTGTCAGGCGTTGAGAAAACTAATGCTGCACTGCTGCCACCTGCTGCCTGTTATCATGCAGTGACTGATGCCTCTTTCCATTTTCACACAGTGCATATATTCAGCGGCCACTTTATTAGGTATACCTTGCTAGTCCCATGTTGGGCCCCTTTTTGGCTTCTGAGCCGTTTTCATTCTTCATGGCACTGATTCAACAAGCTACTGGAAACATTCCTCACAGATTCTGGTCCATATTAAAATGACTGCATCACACAGCTGCTGCAGAATTTTCAATGATGTGAATCTCCTGTTAAAACCACCTGTTGGACTGAGATCTGGTGACTGTGGAGGTCATTGGAGTATTTCAGTGAACTTGTTGTCACGTTCAAGAAGTTACATCAGTTACATGGCGCTTTATCCTGCAGGAATCAGCCTCCAGATGACACTGTGGTTATAAAGTGATGCACACAGTCAGTTAGAATACTTCAAGCAGGCTGTGGTGTTTAAACAATCCTCAGTATGGGGTCCAAAGTGTGCCATTAAAATATCCCCCACTACACCACCAGCACCCTGTTACTTCTCCCTTCTGCAGAAGCAACAGGATCATGCTTCTGCAAAACTCCTCTGTGATCTGTGTTGTAACTCTGAACTTATCCATATGATCCTGTTTCTGATTGAATTCTCTAAAAAGTTAAATTTTCAACAGATTCTGGTTTATGTGAGTCATCTTCTTCATTTTCAGAGCAGAATGTCAGGAATATAAAAAATGTTCTCAACTTCAATGGATCCACTTCATCATGTCTGCATGCCAATCGGTAGTGATTTGACACACACGCACAATGACTGATCAATGGTCATGAGAATTTTCACAATTATGATGAAGGAACTGACCTCACAGCCCATCGTTCCTTCAGTGATTCTAGTTTCAGTCATTATGCAAATGTACTGTTTTAAAAGATTAAGGAAACCTGCAGTCAGCTGAGACTGAAGAAGTCACTTGGATGAGTGACGAAACGTTTGTCCCACTGAAAACACCACGTCCAGGATGTATCGTCCAGATGAACAGAATCAACTTAATTATAGAAGTTTATGTTTACAGTACTCACAGAGAACAGTTACAGCAGCAAACATGTTGCTGCAAACAACAAAATGTCTACAAATAATTTATTATAGATTTGTAATAAGATTTGCTTCAACTTTATCTAGTAGCTGAATTTTGTTTAACCCTTTTTTATT